TCTGGAGGTGGGTTTGGATTAATCTGAGGCTCTCCTAAGATCTCTTTTCTCTCCTCCATGGTCTTTCTTTTTTTTTTAATTTTTTTTAAAGAGAGGATTTTAATATTTATTTTTTAGTTTTTGGTGGACACAACATCTTTGTTTGTATGTGGTGCTGAGGATGGAACCCGGGCCACACGGATGCCAGGTGAGCGCGCTACCGCTTGAGTCACATCCCCAGCCCCACGGTCTTTCTAATAGAGAGCTCTTGCTCTCTACTAAGGCTTGCTGTGGGAGTTGGCAAGATAAGTCCCTGCTATTTGATGTTTCTTTCTGTACTTGTAGGTAAATTAAGGTTTGGGCATTTTCTATTTTCTATTTCTGCGGAAGTTGTGGGTTTCTAATGGTTTTTGTTATTCCTTATTGTTGTTTGAGGAAATGTAGGAAGATTTGGATTTAGGAGCTAACTGTATCCTCAGCTTCCTGGAAGTTCATCCAAATAAGAATTTTTATTCTGTTATAAGTAAATGACATAACCTTTACAGAGGGCTAAGTTTTTTTGTGTGGGTGTGGGTGTGATTGAAAAAGAGAGAGAGAGAGAAAGAGGATTAAGTAAGACTAATTATATAATATCAAAAGCATAGCACCTGGCTTGTAGTTAATAATAATAGAAATTTAATGAGATTTTCCTAAAAACAATTTCTATTCTCATTTTAATTTTGACTTTTATTAAAGTAATATACATATACAGTTTTTAAATAATTTCAAAGCTTCTATGGAGAGACAACCATCCCCAGCTGTATCCTTTTTTTGTCTCACATCCATCACTCAGAGGAAAAACTCTATTTCTAGCTATTTCTTCTGGTACTTAAGCTTTTAATTCCTGGATAATATTCTTATATTTCTTAATTTATTAATTTAGATAATGGCAACATTTTGTTAAATCAATCTCACCTCAACATTACTTTTGAGCTGGATGATTCACTTGGAGATTTCGCAAGACTTGGCAGAATGGTTGTATTCATGTGTATTAGTCTGTTTTATGCTGCTATAACAAAATACTGCAGACTGGGTAGTTTACAATGAATAGAAATCTATTGGTTTACAGCTCTGGAGTCTGGGAAGTCCAATGGAGTGGCCAGCATCTGGTGAGGGCCTTTGTGCTGTGTCATTCCATAGCATAAGGAAGAAGGAGGGACTGAACCATGAGCAAGTGGGAGCATAGGTCGAACTTTTATTTTTTTAAAAGAAACCCACTCTGGTCAGCTGACTGGAATGAATAAGCTGATGCTCTGTGAGGCACAGAAGTTAATAGCAGCTGGAGTTCTGATGGCAGTTGTTGATAATGAAACGTAAAAATAAAAGTAAAAAAAAAAATCCACTGCCATGATAATAGTGTTAATTCATTCTTGAGGGAAGAACTCTAATAAGCCCTTAAAGATTCCAGTTCTCAATACTGTTGCATGGGGGTTAAGTTTCCAAAACCTAAACTTAGGGGAGGGGTACATTCAAACCATAGCATCATGGCTAAGATTATCTATCTATCTATCTATCTATCTATCTATCTATCTATCTATCTATCTATCTATCTATCTATCTATCTAACTTTTCAGCAAAAGAAAGAGCAAAATCAGCAACAATAAAGGACACATGGGATGAAGTCCAGAGGAGACCAGGTATGCGCTACCCGAATCCTGTCCTCTCCAGAAGAAGTCACATAGGATGCACTCAATTCCTTCACCTGGTATTGACAGCTGCAATATGTTGTCAACCAGGAAACTCCTTGGAGATCAAGTGTCCAGTGTTTTTATTATTTATTGGGGGCTTGTCACCTAGGCATCCTCTGCTTAACATGAGCAAAATTCTAGGCTTGTGAAAGAAAAGCAGATGTTCAGAATAAACCATATTGTTTGCACAAACGATTTAGATACAGTAAATTGCTCATCACTTATCCTGAAATCCAAGATGTTAGCCAAGGGCCAAAGGGCCAAGCTTGAGAACAAGATATCTAAAGCACAGCAGTCATATCTATTATACTTTTGTTTTTGCACAATGGTTTTTGTAAAGATTTTTTACACTAGAGTCAAGTAGTATGCTTATGATTACATCCAACAAATATGATTATATGTCCTTTCTTGTGCAAATTTTTTGTTTCCCCGAGTCAATAATTGCTTCTATTTGTTTATTTTTATTTTTTGCTCACTTAATTTTCTAGGTCACTAATTATTAATTCTTCCTCCCCAAAGCTGACAGAATTGTAAAAAGATAGTTAAGCAGTAAGATTTGAGCGGTAACTTGGGGGCATATTATAAAAATTCTTGTCTGCCATTTTCTGTGGATTGTTTATGCTCCTCCAGATTCATAAGTTGAAATTCTAGCCATTAAGGCATTGTGATCGGGAAATAGGGCATTTGGGAGACAGCTGGGTCATCTTGAATAGGATTAATGCTGTTGTAAGAGGAAACAAGAGAGCTAGCTGCTTCTCTGCTGTCTGCCCTGTGAGGACACATGGAAGAGGCAGCCATCTGCAACTAGGAAGCAGCCTTCACAGACAACAGATCTGCCAGCACTTTGAACTTGAACTTCCCAGCTTCTAGAACTGGGATAAATACATGTTTGTTGTTTAAGTCACCCAGCCTGTGGTGTTTTGTTACAGTAGCCAGAGCTGACTAGTATATCAAGCAAAATAATTTTGAGTTTTTTTTTTCTGTAGGCTCTGACAAAGTTTAATGAGAAAGATATTTGATTAAATTTGCTTGTTAGAAAGACTGCTTTGCAGGAGGAGGGCTAAGTGTGGGTAAAGACAGAAAGTAGAGAGAGGAGGTATATCAAGACCATAGTCAAAGGCAGATGTGAAGAGTATGTGAGCTACAACAGAAAAGATGAGAAAGGAGGGGAGCACTTGGTTTCCACTAGACTTGGGGGATATGGTTGAGGGGTGAGGAATTATAGGTAGGAGATAATGGAATATGAAGAAATGTGAAAACTCACCCTAAGGTTGGATAAATTCTGTAATTATTTAGCTGGATATTTTAGTTTCTTAGGAACATATAACAAATTTTTATAAACCGGGTGTCTCAAAACAACAGAAATTTGTGCTTTTCCAATTCTAGGGGCTTGGTGTCCAAAATTTAGGTGTTGGCAGTGTTGGTTTCTCTTTCCAATTCTGAGGTGAGTCCATTCTGTGCTGAGAACTCTCCCAGCTCCTGGGGGCTGCTGGCAATCCTGGCCATTTCTTGGCTTGTAGGTGCGTTACCCCAGTTGCTGCCTCTGTCCTTACATAACCTTCTCCCTGTGTCTGTTGTTCTCTTCTTAAAAGGACACCGCTGATATTGAACTGAGCGCCTGTCCCTCTCTAGTATGACCTCATCTTTATTTTGTTACAGCAGCAGAGACCCTCTTTTTAAATAAGGTCACATTCTGAGGTTCTGGGGGGATATGAATTCTGGAGGGACACAATTTGATCCCATACGCCAGAACACGCACTCACATCTCTGCGTTGCGTCTGTTGTCTCCCTTCCCTCATCCCTAACACCTCCTTGACCATGCCAGGAGTGGTCTTGCCAGTGCTGGAAACTTGGTTGATAATGTTTTCTTAAACTTAAGGTTCGTATCCCACTTCTAGAAGTACTAGATTGTATGTCATTTCACACGAGAACGTTACAAACATCTGGATCTCCTAGTCCTTGCCTCTAACAAGCCCATATCTTTATTTCCAGTGGGGAAGGGGAGGGAAAAGAAATCAGTGCCTGGTGTCTCTGAATAATATTTTTTGACCCCAGGCTTCCATTGTCCAAGTGGGACTTGGATAAACAACATGGCCTAAGTGAATAAGTGGCTGGGATGGGGCTCCACCATAGATCTTCTGATTAAAGTGATTTTACATCCCTGTCTGTCTGGCACAGTTTAATCCCGTTATTCTGTCATAGTTACCATAGCTCCCCCTTCATTCTCCAAAATTTTCTATTATGTATGATAGATTATATATCCATACTACCCTAATCTCCCCTTTTCTATGGAATGTGTCCCCTCCATGGATGCATGAAACTGCAGATAGATACTTCTAAACCCTTTATTTACCATGATTTTTCCTTTACCTACATACCTATTGATAAACTTTGATTTATAAATTAGGCACAGTAAGAGAGTGACAGCAACTAATTATATAACAGTATAATATAGTAAAAGTTATGTGAATGTGGCCTTTCTCTCTCTCTCTCTCCCTCAAAGTATAGCTTCTGCTATAGTTTGGTCCTTAAATGTTTCCCAGATGTCCATGCTTTGAAGACTTGGTCTTCAACCTGGTGCTATGGGAGTTGGGTGGAACCTGGAAGACATGGGGCATAGTGGGTCACTGGGTGTGTGTCCTTGTAGTCTTCTACAAGGACACACACCCAGTGGTGGGACCCAGTCCTCCCTGTTACTCTTTCTCACTTCCCAGTCACAAGGTGAGGAAGTTTGCTTCATGTGAGCTCCTCACCATGATGTGCTGCCTTGCTAAGGGTCTGAGATCAATGGGGGCAACTGATCATGGGATGGAACCTCTGAAACCATGGGCCAGAATAAACTTTTTCTTTATTTAAGTGGATCACGTCAGGTATTTGTTAGAGTGGCAGAAAGCTTGCCAACACAGTATCCTCTTGTGCTGTCCTCACCCTTATTCTTGTGCGGCTGTGAGATGATGCAGAGCCTACATGGTGACATGAAGCCAGGGACACAGAGTTAGGCTATTATTGACCATCCCAGGATATATCGGAAGGAAGATCATCAGCTTCAGGGGATTCTAGATCATCTTCCACTGACTATGGGCTGTTGAAATGGAGAAAAGTGAGAGTACAGACAAAGGGAAACTGTGGCATTCCTGACTGTCTGGTATTTTCTACCAAGACATCCAACTCTCCAAGACCAGAGAGAATCAGTAATTTCAAATGCTAGTCTTTGGCTAAAGAGTATTAAAATGCAAGATTGATTTCTGGTGCAGAGTTTGCTTGATTTCTCCAGTTTTTTTTTTTTTTTCACAGAGTAATTGGAATGCTGAATTCTTCAGTCATGATAATTGGCAAGTGAAAAGAAGAAAAGTACATCAAAGGAGTAAAGAATACTTTATGGATAAATGGCTTTCTTCAAACTGCCAAGGTCTGCATCCAGTTTGTTTGGGGCTGGAGACTTTTAGAAACTTCCATTGAAATGCAGAAAGCAAGAAACATATACCATCCGCCTTTTAAAGAAATCAAATCTGATTGTGGCCCAGTGTATTTTCTTTTTCATTAATAGACTTCAGTTTTAGGGCATGTTTACATTCACAGAAATGCTGAACAGAAATACAAAGAGTTTTCACATACCCATACCACATCTCCTTTTCTTCCTTCCTTCCTTCCTTTCTTTCATATTTTTTAGTTGTCAATGGATATTTATTTATTTATTTATCTATCTATTTATTTATTTATATGTGGTGCTGAGAATCCAACCCACCTTCTTATTAACATCTTGTATGGACGTGGTATATTTGGTTTGATAAACCAATACTGATTCATTATTATTAACTAAAGCCTATGGTTTACCTTTGGGTTGAGTCCTACAGTTCCAGGGTTCTGACAAACTGCGGAGTCATATCTGCTACGTCCCCTTCCTTCCCCATCCTCTGACCTGTAGCTGCCAGTGATCAATTACTGTCTTTATAGTTTTGTCTTTTCCAAAATAACATGTAGTTGAATGTTGGCGGTTGAGTTGTATCCCCCCACACCCCAAGCTTTATTGCCCTTTTAACCTCTAGTACCACAGCATGAGACTTTATTTGGAAATTACAAAGGTATTTAGTTAAGCTGAAGTTTTACTGGAGTCGAGTGGGCCCTTAATCCAATATGGGTGGTTTCTTTAAAAGAAGAGAGAAATTTGACACAGATACAAAAAGGACATCATACAATAATGAAGGTAGAGGTGGGAGTTTGCAGCTTCAAGCTAAGAGTGCTAGGGATTGCACTCTAGATGCTAAGAGAAAGGCATGGAACAGATTCTTTGCTGGAGCTCTTAGGAGAGTGAGGCTGTACCAACATCTCGATTTTGGACTTCCAGTCTCCAGAGCTGTGAGAGAATAAATTTCTGTTCTTTTCAGCCACCACATTTGTGGTTATTTGTTAAGGCAGCTCTCAGAAACTAATACATTGAAATGAACCATTGTGTAAACTTTGGACTGATTCTTTCACTTAGAAATCTGTGGAGGTACTTTAGATAAATATTTCTTATAGCTTGAGAGTTCATTTCTCTGAATTTGCTGTATGGTATTCCCTTATATAGATGTACCACAGTTTATGCCGCTGATAAGTGACACAGCTGGGATTTGAACTCAGGTGGTCAGCTCACAGAGCCACATGACTCTCTCTGCTGCTTCCCTCAGGCATAGCTAACCCAGCAAGTGATGATGGCCTGGACCAAGGACGATAAGTCTTAGCTTGGCCAGCAGTCAGTGAAGTGATAGAAAAAGCTATGCCAAAATTTGAACAGGGGTTATCAATGAGGCCAATTAGGGATTCTCTTGTGACTATGAACTGAGGATAAAAATAGAATTAGAGGAAGAGGCAGACATCAAGACTCCCATGGCACGAACTTGGGTAACCCGAGGCTAAAGAGTTTGAGCAGGGTTGTGTAGGAATCAAAGCAAGGATCAGCCAAGAGTGTCTGCAAGCAGAGGTGTAACGGAGAGAAAATATACAGAGTGCAAGACAAAGTGGATAGTCCCGGGAGGAGAGGGCATGAGGTGGCAGAGAACATCCATGAATTCTCATGGCCAATAAGTTTGGGATTCTTGCAGTTTTTTTGGTCTATTCCCCTACACCCATGAAAGTCTCAACAATGCTACCATGTTGCATATAGAAGGTGACCCACAGGAGGTGGCTTGGGTCCTGCTCACGGTAGCTTAGCTGAGGACAGTTCAGAACCATCAATGCCAAGGAGTTGGGGAGACTGCTCAGAGCCCCGAGATCAGTGACTCTAGTGGAGATCTCTCTTTTCTGTGGCTCCTCTTTTCTCATGAGATTTCCTTCTCTTTTATTATCAACACTACTATTTCCAGAAAACAACATATCTAATTGTTGAAGTAGCTTAAAGTTACTTTTTTTTCCAAGAGCATCAAGAACAAAGAACACTGTGTATGTGAAAAAAAAAAGACTTCTTTATATTCTCTTAAAATTTTCTTGTCCCCATATTAGAGATAAAAATAAGAGCATTTAATTCCACTTGAGAATAATAGCTTTTAAAACTCAAAGTGTGTAAAAGTGAGGTTCACCTAGATTTTTAACATCTTAAGAGTTACATGTTTCAAATTACCTTTCAGTGGTGACTGAAGTTTTGTTTTCTTTCCCTTGTGAAGATCCAAGGCTGATCATGCATGTGCGTGAATCATCTAGGTAATGACTTTTCATTTATTAGAATATTCATAAAATCTGCCTCATATTTTCCTCTCCACTGTCAATTCCATGTCTCAATAATGGTGCTCAAGGCTAGTTTTGTATCTTCCAATTTGTTTCCTGGTACCCAGTGTTGAGAGTGAACTTAAGGGATCAGCTAAGGTTCAGGTGGGCCATCCACAAGATTTCAATGGAATAGTTCTGATTTTTCACCCCAGTTTTATCACCTTTCTGAGTGTAATCTCAAGCAAATCTTCTAATCCCTCTGAGTATTAGTGCTCTCAGCTAGGAAATGTAATAGTAAACTCATTAGAAACCATTTAACAGGATTATTATGAGACTTTGATGACAACCTGTATGTTAAACCACTAAGGTAAGGATTATTTCATAATTCCCTTTAGCATTGATTTTTGGCTACAAGTAGTTCAATTTTGCTTTGTTGATATTTGCTATCTTTTAAATTTTTTATTTGTTCTTTTTATTTATACATGACTGTACAATGTATTTGGACATATTATACATATATGTAGTATAACTTCCCATTCACATGGATGATATTTGCTATCTTTATTTTTATTGCCATCTTTATTTATTAGTTAAATGACTTTGAGCAAACCATTTAAAATCTTCATCATTGTTCTTTTTTATTAAAATTTTTTAGTTGTAGATAGACATATATTTTTATTTTTTATTGATTTAAAATGAAATAATATAAAGTAAATGACAGTGGAATGCATTACAATTCTTATTACACATAACAGCACAATTTTTCATATCTCTGGTTGTATATAAAGTATGTTGACACCAATTCAAGTCTTCATACATGTACTTTGGATAATGATGCCTATCACATTCCACCATTCTTGATAATTCCCTGCCCCCTCCCTTTCCCTCCCACCCCTCTGCCCTATCTAGGGTTCGTGGATTCCTCCCATGCTCCCCCTCCCTACCCCACTATGAATCAGCCTCCTTATATCAGAGAAAACATTCAGCCTTTGTTTTTTTTCTGGGGATTGGCTAATTTCACTTAGCATTATCTTCTCCAACGCTATCCATTTACCTGCAAATGTCATGATTTTATTCTCTTTTATTGCTGAGTAAAATTCCATTGTGTATATATGCCACATTTTTTTAATCCATTCATCTACTGAATGGCATCTATAGACAAAAATCCTGAACATGGCTTATCTGGGTACCCAAGATCAATTCCTTCCCTTCCTTTCCAGGTTCCAGACATACCTGCCTTCTTACAGATCGGAAGGGAAGATAGCCCCTTCCTTTCTCCCCTGGATTTTGTACACGTTTTCTCAGCCTGTTCTCAGGAGTGGCTCAGATTACCACTTATCAGAAACTCCTTTACCACCCTGTACTTCGTCCTTGCCCCTATTAGATAGTGACATGCATTTCTGTGGGGGACAATTACCTTGTCTTCCTGAAAGCAGAAACTATGTGTGTGTTGCTTCCATTGGGTACCCCACCCATAGGTCAGTGCCTGGTATGCAATGGACACTTGATAAATATTTGGTCACCAAAAAAAAAAAATATTAACTTGAGTTCAATTGATAAAACCTATAATGTAAAATAAGCAGATTGAGTAGTAATGAAAATTAATAGGTATTCACAATTCTATCAGGTACTAAATGCATGCACTGATTATTTACTTTACCCATTGGTTACCGAGGAGTTGGGTTTGTCAGCAAGCATATATAATTTACAAGCTGGCATAAAATAGTTGAAAATTGGTACTTGAGAATATATAAATTTAAAAAGGCAAGGCCAGGTAAAGAGCTAGAACAAATATTTAGATTAAAGAGTCTTACAAGGTTAATGAAATTGAGCTGTAAATGTGATTCTATGCTTGCCAGGGGCCAAAGCAAAAATGAAAATATGATCCTGTCTGTGATGGTCATTGACCTGAGGGGGCAAAAAGAAACTGTTCATGGCTTTTTTTTTTTTTTTTTTTGACGAGACAGCACTTCTTTTCTCCAAGGTTCCTTGAGCAGCTTGGCAGTCTTCCCAAACCTACAGCATTAGAAGGTCAGAGATTGTGTTTCCAGATTTTTCTCCTTTCCTAAAATTTCCATCTCATTATAATTAAAAAATGAGCTTAATGCATGATCTTTCCAAGGGTTAAGGTGGTGGTAGGGGAATGTCTAAATCTGCCAGGCCCTAACTCAGTGTGTCAGATATTCCAATTGACCCTGCTCCTATCCCGACTCTACAATTACCAGCCTGTGATCCAGGATGAGTTACTTGTGTTCCCCCAGGCTCAGCTTTTTGTCTGCAGGGGGCTGCTGATGCCTCCTTCAAAGCATAACTGAGAAGATGAATTAAATAACCCTGCTAGCTGTGCCTGGCAGAGCCCTGTTCCATAACCGATTCTCTCTAATGTGTTTCTTCCTCCTCTAAGGATTGGCCTAGGAATCACTGGAGATGTAATGTGCTTTTGAAAAACCCTCATATGTGTGGGTGTGTGAATATTCTAGAGATTCAGGAAGAGAAGAGATCCAATCTAGTAGTTTAACAAATAAAAAAATGGAAGAAATAATTGCATTTATTTCTGTTTTTTTAGCAATTTCCTCTTCTAGATTTTACTTTTTTGGGGGGGCTTATTTTTACCTAAAGCAAGAAAACAAGGAGGGCTTCATATCCAGTATTGTTTTCAAGGATATTTCAGTGAATATAAAATTTTAAAAGTATGTATGTATGTAATTTTTTTAAATATCTATTTTTGCAAATTAATAATTGTGTCAGTGATTCAAGCCAGTGAAAACAAAACAGGAAGTTGTGGAATTCATGGTCAAGAGTCCACAGTGACTCCACAGTGGAGTTTATGCTAGGGTTCTCCACCCTCTCTGTTCTTGACATGCAGAGACTAGGACCCCGTTTAACTGAACTCAGTTGCTACCAGAGATTTCTCTTTCTATAATACTCTCAACTATTAAACCAATTATTATTTTTGTGGGCGCTGAACTTCTGAATTCAAATAGCTCATAACCCAACTTAAGATTATAAATCTATGTTACCTGGGCAAATTCTTCTTGCCCTTCTGATACCTTCAAGCTTGATTTGTTCATTAAAGAAGACCATGAAAAATGCACAGCTTCTTTAGGAGCCATATGAAACTTGGAGGTTTCTGGGCCCGAGTCTCAGGAGCACCAAAGTATATTACCCACTGGTTACCAGCACTGTCAACAGAGGGGCATGACTATTTTGCAGAGTAATTTCCTCTGTAGTTTTTTTTTTTTTCCTCATTTAAAAGAAAATATTCTGGTAGCACAACAAATCTAAAATTGGATGTTATGTATGTGTCTCATTATGGCTTTGTGGACAAAGGAACTAAAAACAATGGTAGTTTAAAAATAAAATAGCTTTGTTTCCTCTGGCAGTGTCAGAAATGTGGACCCTTCACCAGGAGAAAGGGTGCTAATTGTGTGGCTGAACCACATGAGCAATGATGCATCTAGCACCAAGCATTGTAATTAGTAAAGGCTGAGTGGAATTATACGCAGAAATCCAGGATATTTATGTCTGTTTAAAACATTTAGATTTACTAGTCCACAGACATGAAATTAGAAAGGTCTTAATGACTAATGTCCACCCAGAAGTGACGGTGGCCTGACTGGGAGGCCACTCTGTTTTGAACATCTGGCATTTCACTGGGTTCAGCAAATTTCTATTCTTGAATATTTTGGACTTGGACTAGTAATCCCCAAAGGTGGCCACTCAAGGTTGTCCTTCGAGGCCCGTGAAATACTAATGCACCATCCTGCACCAGGACGGCAAACCGACATTCCCAGCATTGTGCCACCATAGTGGCACTTAGTATGGCATCTGCAGAGCATATGAAAAGCAATAAAATGAAGATGGACATATAATCTTCCCCTTGCTGAGTATTTACTATGTTAGAAATGGCTCAAATGATTTCAGTTATATCAGCTCATGTAACTTTTAGAGTTGGTATTACTATTATTCCTGTTTAGTAGAAAAGAAATGGAGGTACAGAGAGTTTATGTGACAGCTGGCATGGATCATGGAACACATATTACAATCTAGGGGTCTCTGGGTGTGGATTATTTCTTCTAAATTGCCACACACGTCTCTATATTTTTGGTGGAGAGAGACACTATGAACCCTGGGGCACTTAACTATTGAGCCACATCTCAGGGTTTTTTTTTTTTTTTTTTTGGAGACAGAGTCTGGCTAAATTGCTTAGGGCCTCACCAAGTTGCTAAGCCTGGCCTTTAACTTGTAATCCTCCTGCCCTAGCCTCCAGAGTGGCTAGAATTACAGGTGTGTACCATGCCTGGCTTCTCTACCTAGTTTTGATAGTTATCAAATTATTAACAATAAAGAAAGATGAAGGCTGGTGTTTTAGTCCTAGCTCTCCAGCTTTTTTCTTATGTGACCTTAGACACATTATTCATTCTTTGGCCTTGTTCTGTATCAGTCAAATGCAGAGTGTTGAATTAGATGGTTTTTAAGTTTCCCCTTATCATTACATTGTATGAGTCTGTGACTAATGGGAATTCTTTGGATAGTCTGGATAATCGGAGAATAGCCGTGATGATTGTGATACACTTTGGCATCCCTACATTTTATAAGGGAGAGTTGTTTCACAGTGATTCAGGACATGGTGGTATAGTGGCAAGTACCCTGGACTCAACATCTGGTAACTTTCTGGAAGATGGGCAGAGATCACAGTGGTACCTTAGTCTGTTCAGGCTGCTATCACAAAAAGCCATAGACTGGATCCCTTATAAACAGCAGAAACTTATTTCACACAGTTCTGGAGCCGGGGAAGTGTAAGATCAGGGAACCAGCAGACGTGGTGTTTGGTGACGGACCATTTCCAGGTTTATAAATGGCACCTTCTCACTGTACTCACAGGGGGGAAGGGAAGAACTCTTATCTTTTATGGGGAAACTAATCCCTTTCATAGAGCTTCCACTCTCATGACCTAGTCATCTCCCCAAAGTCCCTGCCTCCTAACACTGTCACTTGGGGGATTAGGTTTCAGTATGTAAATTTTGAGGGGGTGCAAACTTTCCTACCTTAGCAGGTGGTAACCCATTTTATCAGGTACACGTAAGCTACAGAGAATTTCTGAGTATACATACTGTATATGTATATATATATGTGCATATATATATATATGCACATATATGTATACATATATTTTTCTTTGTACATGCAAAAGCCTGGTTATTTTAGAATTATTGAAAAAATATTAATAAGCAATGACTAACTGCAATAAGAACTGCAACAAACACTAGCATAGGACAAGGGCTCATTGAAAGGAGCATATTTGCCTCCTATTGTGATGGACCTGGAACATTCCAAAGTTCTGCTCTCCTGGGCAGGTGTTTTTTTTTTTTTGTTGTTTGTTTGTTTTTGTTACCAGGGATTGAATTCAGAGGCACTTGACCATTGAGCCACATCTCCAGCCCTATTGTGTATTTTATTTAGAGACAGGGTCTCACTGAGTTGCTTAGCACCTTGCTTTTTCCTGAGGCTGGCTTTGAATGCTTGATCCTCCTGTCTCAGCCTCCGAAGTCGGTGGGATTATAGATGTGTGCTACAGCGCCCCGGCTCCTGGGCAGGTTTTAAGGTCCTTCTTAATGCCTTCCTTGGTTCTTTCCTTGTGACTCTTTCTCCAAGACACAGATAGCTGGGTGATGATTCAGGACTGAAGGCACATGTCCGTTGTCACTCTGCCCCAGGTTTGATCTGGCCATTTGTGTGCCTCATCTGCAGGAGCTATGAGCAGCTCAGGGGGCTCCGACTTGCTCATGCTCACATAACTATGACCTGGGCCTGAGGCTGCAAAAAATTCAGTGCCCCATGAATGTTTTCTGGTAGAATGCAAACCCTTTTGATTTCTTTATGCCTAAGACACAACTAGAGTAAATGTAGATATTAACCCCAACAATTGTATAAGAAGAAGGAGGAGGAGGAGACTGAGAAGAATAGCTACTGTTGTTGTTGTTTTAAAGGAACTCAACAGAGTGTCAAACCATAGTTGGAATCTAATACATTTGACCTTCTTACTTATCATTTCTAGGCTGAATATGAACCCTGGACCTGGGATAAAAAAACTGATGTTTTCAGCCTGGTAAGTTATAATAGCTCAGTTCTGGCAGTGTATTCCATTTTAATCTTTATAGCAGTGGTTTATTCAATAATTTGAACTTCATTGCACTTTTGCTCTTATTTGATAAAATGCATGGAATGGAAAAATGAAATTATGAGAGTGCTGATTTTAATGATAAGTAATTTGGTCTCATAAACTTAATTCAATTTAGAAAAAGATGGAAACCATTAAGATGCCAAGAACTGGGGCAATTTATCCTTAATTGTACATTTATTGATCTAAAGCCAGTGAACTGTGGTTTAATTTTCAAAGCAAAGAACAAAATCATAGAACATATACAAAATTCTAGAAATACTGATCAAAGATTTTGTTTAAAATAGGAGGTGAGTAGAAATTTTTAATAGCACACTGAAGATTGAGTCCCATTTAGAGAATGTATGATGATGCTGTTCAATTTTCACAAATATGAAAATTTCAGCCATGTACTCTGTAAGGAAATTGGGAACTGTATATGTTTTCCTAAATTCCCAGTCTCCAATGTAGACCTTATCCTCACCGTAACAGAGAAACTCTACGACGTTTTGGTCGGTGGCAAAGCTCTGTGTATGAGTTTGTTAGGACTGTTGTAATAAAATACCGTAGGCTGAATGGCTTCAACGACATGATTTATATTTTCACGATTCTAGAAGCTGCAAGTCCAAGATCAAGATGATGGCAGGTTTTCTGAGGCTCCTGTCCCTTGGTTTGCTGATGGTGATCCTCTCAGGATCCTCACATGGCCTCTCCTCAGTGGGCCATAATCTCTTCTTCTAAGAACACCAGTCATGTTGGATTAGAGAAAACCTGTGTGACCTCATGTCACATTAATGACCTCTTTAAAGGCCCTACCTACAAATATAGTCACATTCTCAGGTTCTGGGGGTTAAGACTTTGACATACAAAGTTAGAGAAACACACTAGTATGGCTGTACGTATATACATGCCTGGATAACCAATGTGATTCTGCAACCTGTACCCTTGGAAAAATAAGAAATTATACCCCATTGGATTCAAATGTATGATATGTCAAGATCATTGTATTGTCATGAGCAACTAATAAACAAAACAAAACAGAAAAAAAAAACCCACAAAATTAGGGAAACAAAATCCAACCCATATCACTATGACATGACCCGAAGTTAGTGACGCTAAGCTCATTTTCTTTCTTTCATTTATTTATTTGAAGGAAATAGGACAGAGTGAAGGTAACCAAAAACAAAGTCATATTTGGGAGTTCAAGGTGGGAGCAGGTGGCTCAGAGCACCAGAAAGAGAAAGGAGAGAGAATTTTCTTTCTCTAAAGCAACATTTTGCTTTCCTGCTATTGATAGAGTCTAACAAAACAAATTCTGTGGTTTTAAGCAATGTGACCCCAGCATAAAATTCGTAGAACTGGGCCAGGCACATATTCCTGCTCCAAGTAATCATACAATGGCTGTTACACTGCCGAATAACTAAGGCATCCAGAGAGCTTTAATCAACCTAATCAGGTCATCCTGGGACTTAAAGGGGTTCTGGTTACAAATCTTCAAAAGCTCTGAACTACTTTCTGCATCCACAGGCTAAAAGGGTTATTAAATTAGTTGCACAGAGAGACAGAATTAATGCTACTTGATTGAGCTAAGATCATCATATTTTAAAAAGCAATTAAAATTGTTCTGACCTTTGAAAAGTAAATCACTAAATTTTTATGTTACATTTGAATCTGAGAAAAGGCAAATAGTGAATTTAATAAGTATGAATGAGTTATGTAACTAAAGAACTTTCGGAGGGCTTTAATATATAATTTTCTTTAAAAAGTAATTTAGAGATCATAAAATCCAGATTTTTACATTCTTTTTCATGTTGAAGAAGGCTGCCGCTTCATATGTATGAAATGTATCACAATGTATTTTTCTTGTGCCTATACCTATCAACAAATATATATTCATATTATATTAGCCAAAATCTCATTCATAGTTCATTTTTCCAAGTGTTCAGGCGTCATTTGCCTTGACACTTTGAGTGCATGCATAGAACAACAGGAAAATAAGCAGGCCAACTTCTGAGAAGCAAAAATATATGTTGAAAACTAGTTGAGCACTCAAATATTCAAATTTAAGTCCCAGCAGAATCCCTTAGTTGTCAATCAAAGCAATAGATTAATTTCTAATGAGCTTAATAAGCCTCACTTTCAGCATATAAATTAGAAGTGGGTCTTGACCAAAAAGAGGTGCAAAGAAAGCAGTGAGGTGGAGAGAAATCACAACAGAGACGGAATGTACTGGAAGAAGAGTCAATTCTATAAGCTTTGATGGGCCTGAAAGCATCCCTGTGTGGCTACTTAGGTTAGAGCAGTGATCTAGGGTCATCAACAGAGAGTGGTAGTATTGCTAGCTTCTATTTAAGATTGCAGATGAAGCTAGACACGGTGGCTCATTCCTGGAATCCCAGAGATGTGGGAAACTGAGGCAGGACTCCAAGTTCGAGGCCAGCCTCAGCGACTTAGTAAGACCCTGTCTTGAAATAAAAAGTAAATAAATAAATTTAAAAAAAAAGGGAACATAATTCAGTGGTAAGTCACCTCTGGGTTCAATATCTAGTACCCCCCCCCAAAAAAAAAGAAAAATAATCAATCAGTAAAAAGATAGCAGATTAGTATGAAGTGCACATGGTGTCTCTGAAAATTAGGTTATGTGAACTGTTCGCTTATTCATGAATACCTAGATGATACATCAAGCAAGTGCTGTTTATTCATTAACCAGCACAGGTTTATTGATTACTCTCTTTGTCAGGCACAGTTTTAGACTCTATGGATGTACTGACAAACAGTCATAAAAATCTGTCTTCATGCAGCTCCCTTTTAGTTCAGGAAAGACACAATAAAAAAGTAAATAAGTAATTTATTTATGCAGAATATTTGTTTAGAATAGAGACAGTGTTGAGTGCTGTGGAGAAAAATAAGGCAGGGAGTAACATGTCCAAATGAGGAATATGTTGGTTCCAAAATCCTCTTGAAGAGAATCAAAGGGTTTGGTAACTAGAGCAGCAGAAGAGAAAACAGAAATGGGTATTAGGATGCTAATTGCGTTATCAAAATGCACTGGGCTAATAAGATATTTCATCTTTCTTTACTCTAGTTGTCGTACTCTAAAAAGAATTTATGCAGTTTCCTGTTGACAGATAAGCTGTAAAATAATTTTACAATATAAAAATCATGAACATCAATTTGCTCAAAATGTGCACTGGACAACTAAGATATTCACAGTACACTGTACCACATTTGTTGTCATAAAATGCCAGAAATGTGTAACTCTCCATATTTTTGTAGTGCCTCTAGCAGGGTCCTGCATAGAGCAGGAACTGATAAATGTTACTGAAAAGTCCCCATCATTCCCAAACTACATCTAATGGGGTTGGGGACACATCTCCAGGTCAAAATGGTGGACAGCCAGTTGATGTATAGTGGACTTTGAAGCAAAATCCAGTGGGTGGTCCAGGCAGAGAGAATCTTGTGGGCAAAGGTGGCCTCATTCAGGAAGCATCATGGGACTTACAGGAAATAGAAGGAAAGAAAGAAAGGTGCATCTGGCAGGTGCATTAGGGCAGTTGCTCAAATTCTGGGAGTGGAAGAGTCTGTCTGCAACAAAGGACTGGAGTTGCAAAGTCATGGCAGGTGCAGCTGCCAGGGGTCTGAGGCATCCACCTACGCCCAGGCTATGAAATGGGGACTTTATCCTGTAAACAGTGGCTGCCTTTGTTTTTGAGCAGAGGATTGACAAGATTAAAACAGCTCTTTAGGGAGCCCTACCCTGTGTCAACAAAAGGAACAAATTGGAGAGGACCCAAACTGGAAGCAGGAAGCTGAGAGATTGTTAGTAGAGGCATTGAGACAATGAGAGTCTGGAAAAATGGGAATGGAAAGAGGACACACAGTTTCAAAGATTAGTTGGTGGAAGAACTAGGTGGGAACTAATAGAATATGGTAGCTGGAGAGGCTGAGACAGGGAAAAAGAAAAATGAAAAAAATAAGCACATTTGAAGCTTGGGCTGAAAGAATAACGTTGACAGAAATAAAACAGATGAACAATATAAGGGAAGTCAGATTGGAAGAAAAAATAATTTCCATTTTATACTAAGGCAAGGTGCTATTATTGATGGCACAGGACGGAATTCATATTTCTGTATAGACAATCTTTCACTTATGATGATTTAAGTTACAATTTTGCAACTTTGTGAGAGTGTGAAAGCAAAATGCATTTGGTAGAAACTGCACTTCAATTTTGAATTTGGATCTTTTCCTGGGCTATTATTGGCAAGGGGCAGGATGCTGTCTCCATGCTGGGTAGTGGCAGGAGCTATCTCCATGCTGGGTAGTGGCAGGAGCCATAGCTCCCAGTCAGCTATGCATTCAACAGAGGAAACAATCAATACAGTGTACTGTATGACCAGTGTTTTTTGGATACGGGTATTCAATAAATTACAAGAGATACTCAACATTTAAAAGATGCTCTGTGTTAGATGATTTTCCCCACCATAGACTAATGCAAGTGTTCTGGTAGTCTAGGCTAAGCTATGCTGTTTAGTAGTATAAGTGTACTAAATGCATTTTTGACTTGTGATATTTTCAACTTACAATGCATTGATCAGATATAAATCAAGGAACATTCCCCAGTATCAACTTATACAGGGAGTTTGCTGGGCATGTTTCCAGGTATAATATATCAGTTGTGCTGAAGCTAGAAAAACCTAGTAGAAATCCACATGGTTAGAGATCTGCAAACACAGGTGGAGTGAGGGTAAGGCTACAGAAATAGCTTAGGAAGTTCTCCATGTGGAACTATGCAGAGCAAAAGGCACATAATGATGCCTTTTATTCTCCTGTTTAATTCTCTCTTGTGTTACTTAGTTTGAAGTCGCACATCTATAATTAAATTCATGAAATCTTTAGTGTTCACTTCTTTTCCTCATTAGTAAGCTTTATTTTGAAATGTCATCAAGCAGTGTTTTGA